ATGTTCTGAAAGTATGTTAAGAGTAATAAAAAAAACAGAAGTAGTGTGTGGAGATCTTACTACTGGCACAAGATAACTAATGGAAATTGTCTAAGAAATTGCTAACATATGAATAATTACACAATTTGATTTTTTATAAGACACAGAAAAAGCATGATGCTCAGTGGGAGAGAATAAAAGCTTTTACTCTTAGTCTACACGCTGTAAATATATGTGCCCCATTCCATAGTTCCTTAGAACTAAAATGTTCCTATTTAATGCCCTCTAACTAGATTCTTCCATAAAATGATAAATGCCTTGGAGTCTTCTCTGCACAAGTATATTCTCCTCTGAAGATTAGAGGAAAAGAAAAATGGTTCATAAATTTCTAATGGCCTCGGAGGAAAAAAACCTGGAGTTAGATTCAGAGAAGTTGAATGTAAAGAATTCCAGCTATTTATCAGCCTGACACTCACATTCAAGGGTGCAGGACACAAGTTTTAAGTTGTGACAAAGTTTTGGCAAACATTCAAGTCTCATGCAAAATAAGGAAAGGGCCATCCTGAGCTGGTTCCCACCGTGAAGCAGTGGATTCAAGAGAAATTAAATATCCCTTTTGATTACAAAATTGATACAGAAGACTGAACAGCTACAATTTAACTTTGCTTGTTTTTGCAAAAGAATGGCCTGGTCACATTAGAACTTTGCCAAACAGTCTCCAAATTCTAAGGCTTTTGCCTAGAATGGCCCCAAGGGATTACTTTACTTATAAATATTTTATTTCAATGCATTGTAACAGACACAGTAACCTTCTATTCCTTCCAGATATATGCCTTAAAAATTAGAAAAATACAGGCTGGGGATTTAGCTCAATGGTTCAACCACCTACCTTGCAAGCTCAAGGGCCAGAGTTTGATCCCCCTACCCCCTCAAAAGAGAAAGAAAAATCAGTCATCCCCTTACTTCAACCTACATTCTTAATAATACTCCATTGACCCAAACAATATGGATGTATCTCAATTTTAATTTTATGTCTTAATTTATAGCCTCTAGGGGTCAGATTTCACTCTGCTTTTGAGGAAAGAATGTGAGGAGTGCATTTCAAATTCTGCAAAATTGTTATTAGTGAGAATGAATGGATAACTGGATTTCTGCAAAGCCTGCTTTCCCCAGGGAATGCACTCACTCTGGTTAATCAACTGACAAACAAGACACCTAGGGTTATCTCTTTACCACGCTATTGCCACATCAATAATGTAAAGACTGTCATTAAGAAGCCATTTTTCCCTTCTGGGCTGAATTTTGAGCGATGCATCATGTGGGGAAAATAGGAGTTATGGTGTGGGGACTATGGGTCACACCATAATCTCAGAAACATGCTGTGCACTCTGCAGACGGTCCATCAAGGTATGATCCAAGGCACACACCAATGCGTAACAAAATATATAGGCTGAGACCGCCAAACTCATTTCATTAGGACCTTTCAAGGTTAGCATTATAATCATGCTTCAGGGCACAAAGCGATCACCAGCCGAGCTCAGGAAGACATTTTACTTCCATGGAAAGACTGTCCCCCGTGGGTCAATTGCATTGCAAGTACATTTGCAGCTATTTCCTTACCTTGCCAAAGTGTCTTGCTTGTCTTTTTCTCCATCTTTCAGTTTATTCAAACCATCAAGCAAAACTAATTTTAGATAAGTTCAAGCTAATATTTTCTTTTCTGTGTGTGTTTCATTTTTAAACTTTGTTTCCTAAATTTCCAAATACTTATCTGTGTATTTACTGACAAATGTATATGAGCACTATTCAGTATGATTCATTATTATCATTTAATAACTGAGTACTGGGCCTACATAAGTTCCAGGTAGTACTGTCAGAACTAGCAACGGAAATAAACAGTTGGAGAGAAGTGAATCTGATATTCAGCCCCAAACACTAGACCCTGCGTGAGTATTGGCTCTCTGATGGTTCTTGTGGCTCATCTGTTCAACAGCGGAAGAGACACAGACATAGTCCTCTCACCAGCTCCAGCTAGCGGTACACTGCTGACAGTGCAAGCAAAGTGCTCCTGGAGGGCTCATTCTTCAGGCAAGAACTCCTTTACATCACGGAGGGCTGAAGGAGACCAGGAGAGGAAATGTGACTTGGGTCTGTAGGACAGAAGGAATGCAAACATCACTGGCATGTTGTACTGTCGCTCTACTAATAAGATGTGTCTGGGATTCGTCGCTGTTCACTTCCTCCTTCTGGTAGATGTTCTCTTGCATCTCCGTTTAGGACTGGCAGACTCTGAGACACACACAGAAAGCATGAACTAGTCTCCAGGAATGATTTCTCATCTCCCAGTAACCCTATCTCTGAGGAGGCATTGTCCTTAATTCTCATTTGTAACCATCCGAGGAATACCATCTCCAACCCAGCAGCCTGCCCTTTTGTTTGACCGGCTTGAAAAATCACCTCCAGCAGCATAGTTAATGACTTATCATCAGAGCCTGTCTGCTGACACAGTAAAGCACTGACCCAGGCTGCCCGGGTTCAAACTCCACCTCTGCCACTTAATTAGACAATTACTTAACTTCTCTTTGCTTCAGTTCCCAGCTCCATGTCCATCTGTACTTGGGGATGGTTCAGTGTGAGGACTGCAGGAGTCAAGTCAGAGCAATGTCTTGCATATGGTAGATATTCCGTAAGTGTTTGCTGAATAAACAAATGTAAATATAAGCATATACCAAATATACCATCAATATTCAATTACTTTTGTTTTTTACAATTACTTTACTTGAGAAATCTTGGCCTCATTTAGGGATAAGGCCAAGCCGAAGTGATCACTCTTTACAGCAAATCCTGACTGATACAGTGACTTTTTTGTCTGTGTCAGTGATCCTAAAATTTGGAATAGGAAGGCACCTTTGGGGGAGAATGTCCAATTGCCTCAATCTAATTTGCTTAAAATTACTGGTATAATTACCAATTTAGTTAATGACATATTCATTTAAAAGGTTAACTAAATATCCTTTTTATCTGTGCTAAAATTGTACAAGCTCAGAGGAATTTTGTAAACCTTCTCAGTAACTGTTTCACTTACTTTTGAGGGTTTTTGTGGCATCTCGCCCAATAAGATGCTTGCAGTGTCATAAAATATACTTAGAAACCAAAGCAACTTGTCTCAAAAATTCTTAGAGTAGCATGTTATTAAAAATGAAATGATATGTCTGTGACATATGATTATTAGGCTAATGGGTGTTTCAGGGAATTGAACATTAGGAGAATTGGTTTTAGGTGAACTGACTTAAAATCTCTTAAAGAACTGGGTGTGAAAGCAGCAGCATCAGAGTGCTAACATATCATTTTGTAACCTCTTTCTGGGGCTAAGTTCAGCTCTCTCTCTCTATCTGCTCCAGGACCTAACACTACAGCTTTCAGCCTCGGATCCCTGATAGATTTCCAGGGCTGCCTCCTTTCACTAACCTTGGACTCTAGGACTAACTAATAAAAGTCTCTGTTCTGTACAGCCTTGCTAAGGCTACAGAAATCTGTTTTGCCCTAGACATGAACTCACACTTTTATGCACTATTTAATATCACTGCTTTGCTCCATTTTACCTGTGTGAATCATGTATATTTTAAACATTCATCTCTTCTGATAAGAGAAACATTTAGCTTTGATTGTTCAGAAACTGAGAAAGATAACCAAGAGACAGAGTTGTGAAGCATTTATATAAGCACGTACAAAAGCATATTCATATATAGCGAAACATGTTGATTTTTACCCAGAAGAACCATCAAATGTTTTAGAAGAGCTACTGTAGGCCAACACGTGAAACTTTGTTTGAAACCAGTTTTATTCTCACTGCTTACAGCTCCTATGTTAACGAGTCAATTCTCTCCTATTGCTATGTCATAAAAATTTCTCTACATTTGTATTGATACTGTGAAAGGAGGGGTTTCTGTTTTCCTGAGAATGTTTAAATTTCCTGGTGGGTGCCCGAGTTTGTTTAAAGTTCTGCCCGCTGGTGCAGTGACGCGGGTGCGTCCTTCACATCTTGCCGTAGCTATCGGCATGGAAACGGACATCTGCCAACCAGTAATGGTGGTCATAACTCACTGCTGCCCCAACCGCTCGCAGTCCGGCTCAGCCTGCCACCCTGAGCTCCAGTCAGCTGTCACGACTGTCGCAGCTGCCATCGTATTTACTGCCACGAGTTTTCTTGGCATCGCGGACCAGACACTGCTGAGATGGCACCTGTCATTGGCTGTAAAAGGCACAGGGACGAAAGACTCCATGGAACCCCGGGAAGGTGCAACATGTTCAAACCACCTGACAGTGAACCCCATCAGTGCTGATGTCTCTGAGGTTGTTCTTTGTTGACTGATCAGATTGGACAAGGCACAGTAGGCCCTCCAGAACTTCTATTCTGCTCTGCTTTAATTGAATGTGTCACTGATGAGGGACAATCACTTGGGCTGTGGCATCTATTCCAAATGAAACAATTGTTTTAAAATAATTGGTCTGACAAGAAGGCTGGCATCTGCTGAAGGTAAGATGCATGTGCTTTTAGGAGAAGAGACAGAAAACGTGTTCCTGTAATTGCCATGGCTAAGCTTTTAAACTTTTCCCTTTACTTCTCATGAAATGAGTCCTTTAAATATTTCTGATTTGAATAAAAATTGAACAGTTGTAGAGGCACTACTCTGCTTTTCATGTCTTTTAGACACAGAAGAGGCCATTGGCTTGCTCAAATCATCTGGTCCCAACAGTTTGCAATGGATTCAATAGGGGAACAAGTGAAAGGGTTAGTTTGTCTCTAAACTTCTTTGTGGCTCTCACTGTTGATGAGTCCTGATACACAGCCTGCAATTATGCAGTGTAAGACAGAAGGTCAACTACAGCACCCAGTTAGCCCATAATGAGCCAGATTTCCATAGTTTGTCTGTGGCTCCTCAGGGGAGCAACTGAGGGTGCAACAGCCAAAAACATCTGAGCCATCTACCACACCTGTGCACAAGACAGCAGGGCATATTAGAAAGAGCAAGCAAATGTCCCTTCAACCCATAAGCTCTGTGTGTATCTAGCCAAGACCATGGCCCTCTATAATGAAATAGAAAATGATGATTTTAATATTTCACAAACTACTGTACAAGTATTATCACATTTGTTCTCATAATATTTAGAATAAAAATTATACTTGCCCATTCTGCACATAAGAATTACACCGATCTATAAAACCATGTGGTCTAGAGTAATATGAAAGTACCATTTGAATGATTAATACAAAGTCACCATTTTTTTCACTGTATCACAGTGACTGACTTTATCTTCAGCTAGCTTCTATTTTTGCCACAATTAATAAACCATTCCTAAGAAATCACATCTGGCTTTAAAATTTTAACTAAATATGTAAAGAGGTGGAGAAGGGTCCTCTTTCCTCTCACTGCCTTACTTTGCATCAAGCCCTCACTGTTTTTTACTTAGGTTCTCGCAAGGGTCACCTAGCCTAGTTTTCTGCCTGTAAACTAGATTATCATTTAATCTGTTTTGTTCACCGCACACAAGAAGGATCTTTTCCATATGTAAATCTGACTGTGTTTGTTCTCAACTTAAACATTTCTGTGGCTTCTGGTGGGTGAGAGTGAAGCTGTGAAAACTAAGAGGAGAATGGCTCAGTCCTTGACTACTACTGAAAAATAATCTCCTCTTCTTCCCAAGTTCCAAGATCAAAAGACCTATGGATCCCCTAACATGAGTATTATATGCCTCTCTGCCTTTGTCCAACACATTTACCTTGTCTGGATTTTTTTTTTATTTTTTCTGGTACCAGGGATTGAATTTAGGACCTTGTGCTCTCAAGGCAGGCATGGTGCCACTGAGCTAAACCCTTGGCCCTGAAATACTCGTTTAGTCCCAATGTATCTTATAACATCACAGTGTTTGGTTTAAATCCTAACTAGGAATCACCTTTTCCATTGAAAGTTTTCTAAACTTTCCCAGAAAGACAGCAGTTTCACGCTACCTCATGTCTTATACTTAATTCTTTTACTGTAAGAAGCACACGTCTGTCTTTCTATACAGAGAGCCCTAACATATACATGACTACTTGTCCCTACCACACAGTCATGTAGCACTTGAAGGTAAGCGTATGTCCTCTTTACCTTTGAATGACTGTGTGTGCATATTTAGTGGCACACATATACTCTCTTTGATTTTTGTGGTTTGTGTGAAGAGAATTTCTCATTCTGGAGGCTAGATTTCAAAGACAAAGACTACATCCTCAGTATACTTTCTACACTATTTTATATCCTGTATCATTTCACACCATCTCATGTCATGTTGTATCTCATCGTATCCATTATACCATGGCTGTTTAAGGTGAGTGTCAAGGAAATGGCCAGACTTCTTTAGCTTATGAGAATTTTCTGATGACAGATTTATGCCGTGGCACATTCCCATTTGCACTACATCCAATATTCTTTCCTGTTTGTTGAGAATGTAGGCCTACCATACACAATTTATAAGTCACCTGTGGCTTGAAGTTTTGCCCTTCATTTTCCTTTAAACTGACACTGTATTTTTCTGAGAATATATTATCTGTACAATGCATTTTGGTTTCTAAATATGCATGATCTCTCTATGTTAGTATGCTCCTTTTATACATTTGTTACCTCTCTAAAAATCATTCAATACCTTCATTTAAAAATACAGTCACTCATCCTTTTTCCAATTCTCAAAGCCACAGTTTTCACCTTAGTACAGGTGTTCCATAGTAGTGTGCTGATGTGAAAAGAAAAATAAATAACATGTGATGATCAACCCTATAATTATAATCACTCTGTACTTATACTGATGGACTCATGCATAAACCCAAGTAGCATACCTTTTCAACACTTTCTTTTACAACCATGGGAAAAATGTGTTAACACTCAAAGTTGTATTATTAGTAAGGTTTTTTGAGTTGTAAAAGACGTTTATAGCTGGAAAAGGAAAGCAAGACTCATTTTATCTTGGAATTTTTAAAGATGAACTCACCAGGTGAAGCCTTCTTACAAGTGCTGCAGGAATGAGGAAGC